TTATATGCGAGTTCACATTCTATTAAGTCCTTATGTGTAAAGATATTAATTACTCAGTTCCTAATTGTTGTGCATTAGATATTGAATTTTGTGCTTCAAATACTTGTTTCAGTTTTTCTTATGCTTAGTGTGTGTTAGATAGTGATACTTGTGTGTTATACACGAATTCACGTTCTATTAAGTCCTTATTATGTGTTAAGATATTAATAAGTTCTTAATTGTTGTACATTAGATATTGAATTTTGTGTTTAAGATACTTGTTTCAGTTCTTCAATTCTTATGCATATTGTGTGTTAGATACTGGTTCTTGTGTGTTATACACGAATTCACGTTCTATTAAGTCCTTATTATGTGTTAAGATATTAATTAATTCTTACTTGTTGTGCATTAGATATCGAATTTTGTGCTCAAGATACTTGTTTCAGCTTTTCTTATGCATATTGTGTGTTGGAAACTGGTTCTTGTGTGTTATATACTCGTATAATTTTTATAACTTTCTTGTGCATTAATATGTATTACATATTACCAGTTCATATGCATTATATACCGGTGATTGTGTATTAGATACATGTTCTTGTGCATGTGTATTAATATGAAGAAGACGATTGCAGAGGAAACGGAAGAAACCCCAGTGCTCTCTCTTTCTCTTTTGAACGTTTGCGACTGAATGACAAACATTCCTTGGACGGGTTAACAAAATATTCAGACTGGGTCACCTCTTATTTGGACTCTTCTCTTGGGCCGAAAATTCGCTGGGCCCAAATGTAGTTGGGGCTCTTTCGATTCTAGCTACCTTTATTAGCTCTATCGTAATTTTTTCTCCCTTTTCTCTTATTTTGTTTGATGTAATCCTTGTTTTCCTTTGAATAAAACTCCCCCCTTTAAAAAAAAAAAAAAAAAGTGCATGTGATAGGTGAAAATTGTTGTGGTTTATTGTGTACATAGTATACTTATTTTTAAAAACAAAAATTATATATGCTATATTGGTGTCATATGAAAGATCATAAAAAACTATTTAATTTGATATAATTTTTGTGAAAATCGGATTAGAATTTAAAAAGTTAAATCAATTTTAAACTAATATATTTTATAAGATTTAAGCTATTACTTTTACCTACTTTTTAGGGGAGTTGCACCCGATGCAACATTAAATAATTTTTTAAATTACTTTAGTGCCCTTCATTTAAGTTACGGTTGGACTAGATAGTGCATGGTTATTTTCAAGTGTAGGCACTCCCACCGTACTCTCACGTATCTCTTCCTTTTCATGCCTTTAATTTACTGAGATGAATGGTTAAGATTTGTTCTTATTTCTCACAATAAGGAGTGTTCTCATTAGAACCACTCCCTATATATATATATATATATATTACTTTTCTTCAAAAAAATATATGGAGTAGTCCAGTTGATTTTCCGGGCTTGCGGCCATCTCGAAATGATCTGATGCAGGGGCGGAGGTAGGGGGCAACAAGTCCCTGATCCACCCTAAATTTAAAAATCTTTTGTAATTTTAGTGTAAAAAATATGTGTAGAAAATAACCGAAAAAATTCTTTATGCTAACTCACACTAAGCTTTGATTCGAGCTACACGTCCTGATTTGTGATGTCACCATGTTAATAAATGACATGGTTAAACTAGTGCGTACGGCTAAATAAAAATAATTCAATGTAAAGCTCATTTGTGGCATGTCACCATGTTAATAATAAGTGACATGGTTAAACTAGTACGTACGGCTAAATATCTCAATGTAAAGCTCATATGTGGCAACATTTAGTGATTTGACCATACTGATTTGAGTATGCCAACATGGCATGTAATGCAAACCTGATTATGCTGATCATACATACGACGTCATAAAATGTTAGTGTTATGGATGTACAACTCAACAAGCCAAGCTTAATCATGAGATTCTTAACCACGTTAGCATTGACATGTTAGTTGTTACCAAAGAATGACACGTGATCATGTAAATGGATGCACATGCGTCATGTAGTGAGGTGGAGTACATCCACAAAAAAGTCAAAGTCATGTATATATATATATGAAGTGCGTAAAGTTTACAGTTTTATAATATGCTATTTTAGACATGGGCCCGTTGTTAGGTTTGTAAACTTAGTTGCTTGCAAATAATGCCATGTAATTCATAAATTTTCAGATGGATGATGTAAGATTCTTTATTTGGATTTTAATTTTATGATGTGATTTGGATTGGTATGATTTGTTTAAATCAGGTATTCTAATATAGTCTAGTAGATGTATGATTTATGTGTATTTTATAAGGGCCGAAGTATGGTCTAATCAGATAAGATCTGATATGATATTGAAATTAATTCAAGTGGAAACATTGGAATAACTAGAATGAACCATTATAAGAAAAATGCATTAGAAAAGATGTCGCTCACAGGCAACTTTGTCAAAAAAGATAGGGATAATTATAGACAAGAGTAAAAATGTTTGCCATAAAAAGTAATCTGGAGTAACTGCCAAATTTGAAGGGTAGTGCCATGCATATTTAAAATTTGATAATCTCAAATCATGACCTGTAATTTCTTTAAAAGATACATTTTGGTGAAAATTTTCATAACGAAGAAAAATCTATTAACCAGAGGATGTTATTTATAATTAAGTACGTTAAGTTACCAGACTGATTAATGATAAGTACAATCACAATTTCTAATACTAAATGTGTATTTTTCTCTTTTTTTAATAGTATGTTTTTCTCTTTATATTCATTAAATGTTCATGCTATATTTACTACTTCCGTGTCCTACTAAAATTTTCTAATTATCCTTATTTATAACTCCCATAATAGTCACCCTCAATTTTTTTTTATCATTTTTGATGTAATAAATTTGTGATTAATGTTGTTTTCCGTTTCTTTTGTGCAAATTTCAACTTCATAATTTTTATTTTATTTCTTTACTTGCAAGTTATACTTTGTGAACTTTTATGAGACTAGGGAAATTATTTCGATCAAACTTCAATGAAGTACATGTAAAAGGGGTATATCGTCATAAAAACAACTACCAACCAATAGTATACCCTATTGGATATAAAGGGTATGCATCATCTTTAAAATATATTTCATTCGTTCTTTAAAAGTTGCAACATTAGGAAGTTTACACTATCTACACAACTTACTTTGACTACGATTTTTTAATAGTATATATAATCAAATTATTATGTATAAAATGTTATTAAATTTCTATTAATTTAAATTTCCAAAATATTAATTTTTATGTTTGCTAATACGTAATTAAATATAATTACAATCAATGTTGTGCATTGGCAAACGTGGAAGTCAAATTGTTGCAACTTTTAAAGAACGGAGTATAGTACATAACAATCAACATTATATCAAATCTTATCGAACCAAATTGTATCCTAGTACATGTGATCGTATCAATGTATATTATAGGTTAAAGACTATATCTAAAATGACATTTTCCCATGAATATTACTCCGTACTAAATTAAATTCAAAAGACAAAAATATGACTTGTTTTAAAATTTTTCAAAAAACTTACATATTTAGTGACTAGTTCAAAGTGACTCGTCGTATAGAGTGACTTATCATTTCAAAATACACTATAGTGATTAGTTTATAGTGACCCGTACACAGTGACTAGTCATCTTTTTGTCCAAAAACATAACTAATCATATTTTTGTCCGGAAAAACTCTATTAATAATATGCGTGTTATTTTTTCATTTAAAATTTTAGTCCATATGAAAAACATCAAGTTTTTTCGATGCTTAAAGACCCGACTCGGACTCGGTCTGACCCGGAACCCACCCACCCTCTCAAAAATGCGGGCTAGTTACTACCCAACCTGTAAAAGACCAAGAACCCGGAAAACCCCAAAAAACCGTTACAACCCGTGTCGCCGTGTCGGGCCCGGATCCGGAAATAACCGGTAAATTACCCGAAAACCCCAGAAAGTGGCCACAATTTAAAAGAAATCTGTCACTGGGAATCAAACCCAGGTCGACAATCTGCCATTCCCATTTCTTCTCCGAGCGAACAAAGCCACCAAGTTGTGTTTTAACATACATAAAGCCTTGTTATATACGATTATATATACAAAGTACTGATTACTCCTTTATATAACTATAAACTAGCAAGTTTTTGTTTAAAAAAATTATTCAACACCCACTAACTATAACAACTCATGTTATTGCTATAAGTGAAACATAGTCATACACTATTTCTAAGATTTTGTAATAAGCAGGGGCGGAGCTAAGGGGGTCAGGGTGGTCAGCCGACCCCGCTGAAAGTTTAAGAATATAGAGCTCTGAAATACCTTCGATTTGATATATTATGGGTCTCGTAACTCATTACGAGTAAAAAGTTATGACTTCTGGGAAAATCAGCACCATCTTAACTTGAAATAAGCAAAATTTGATGTATGACGTTGATTATATTGTTAAATTTAAAAACAAAACACCATATTCAGTCATTATATCAATACATTAACCGAAAAATGCTCATTAAACTATTATTTATTTGAGCTACATATGAAACATTTGACTCAAGTATTGTATAATAATTATCCATCATTTTGATACCGTATATAATTAAATTTCGATCCCCTCACTCATTTTTCTGGCTCCGCCCCTGGTAATAAGTGTAGATTTGTTCAATTCATATTTATTTTTAGGAAAATGTATGTGATATACGGAGTATTTGAAAGTTACAAAATAAACATCAAATAATACTATCGACTTTAATAGGATTAAAACCAATTTCAAAATATTATGTCTATTGTTCAATGTTTACCAAGTACTTACATTATTTAATTATTGTGAAGACTAAATAACTTATATAATAATAATGTTAAAGTACTATAAAATTTTATAAATGTTGACCGGATTTTCTTGACGTTGACTAGATTGACCCGCCAGATCCAGGTTGACCCGTGACCCAGACACTCGATCGGGTCAATAAACACTTTCTAAAGCCCACCTATCGGGCATTTGGGCCCATACATTTCGATCGACCAGATTTCTCAGCTATCGGGGGCTAGAGAGCCGAACCCAGAAGCCCGACGGAATGGGAGACAAAGGCGCTGCTGTCGCCGTTGCAATTCCACCGCCAACCTCCACCGCTGCCGATGAAGATGCGCTTCTCAAGCAATTCTTTGCCGAAGTCAGCGAGGTTGAGCGCGAAAACGAAGTCCACAGGTACCTATCTTTTTTGGTCAAAATATTAGATTATTTTATCTCTTGCGTCTCTGCAAATTTTGTTCATTAAGATTATGGCGTTTTTGTGAGAATTAGATTCACATACACACTCCCTTTGGACCAAGTTTAATTATGTTCTGGAAAAACAACATTATGTAATCGATCATTTAGCTTTTGAAATATAAAAAGAAAGTAAAGGACATATGAGCATAGGTCAGCTTGATTTGTACTCGGGAATTTGGTCATTCTTGTGAAAATACTGTAAAAAATTTGATCTTTTTTTGCGATTTGGTCACTTGTGCAGGCATAATAATAAAAAGTCAATCAATTTCAACTCTTTTACCTATATAACTTGTTATAACACATTGAATTTTCTGCGAGCCTTCTTGGTTACACAATTTAATATTTGTAGTCTTCTTTTTCCTTACTAATTCGAATACTTCTCATTTAATTTACTATGAAACTGTGTAATTTTCATTGAATCCTTAAATTTATTAATGGTGTTATTGTTTTGTAGGATACTTTCATGCTTTAAATTGAATCCATTTGAGTATCTTAATCTATCATTTGATTCATCCCTAGATGATATAAAACGACAATATCGCAAGGTATGTCATATATGCCCTCTAGGTTTTCCCTTTAATGATAAAAGTTCTCAAATTCCTTTATAATTGGCCTAATGTCTTGCAACTTATAATGTGCAGTTATCATTGCTTGTTCACCCAGATAAGTGCAAGCATCCACAAGCAAAGGAAGCTTTTGGTGGTAAATCAGCGTTCTATTTTCTCTAATTCCATAAAAATGTACTTGTAGGTATTCTCAAGTGAAAAGGAATCTTCTTTTTAGTGAGCCATATCATAATCTGTGTTTGTAGATTAATGCCTCATTGAACTTTTACTGGCATCCTCAGTTGGTCTTTTGTTTTCATTTGCAGCTTTAGCAAAAGCCCAACAATTACTACTTGATCCACCAGAGAGGGATTATATTCTTAACCAAGTTCATGCTGCAAAAGGTTTGGTTATCCGCTTGTTCACAGATCTTAACTACTCTTATTTTGTAACATATATGGCTATATCTTCTTACATTGGAGATACTGTCTTCTTGTGTGGAACTCAGAGGAACTAAAGTTAAAGTGGAAGAAGCAGGTTAAAAAAGACAATGCTGCTAAGTTAAAATCATTGGTTTCTGAGGTAACTATTTGATTTGCCGCACCTGTCCTCCTAAGGAACCAAATAGGAGGTTTTCTGTTCTAATTTTTATCGTATTCTTTCTGGCTCATTTTATGTTATCCTACTCGTGCAACACCAGACTAGAGGCAATTCAGTTTTTGTAATATTCAATTTTATATAATGTAATCTACATCACAACTTCTATAACTCGAGTAGTGACATGACGTATTGAGGTAGTGATATAATGTAATCTACATCAAAAGTTCTCTAATACAGGTACTCAGGTAGTGAACTTAATGTAATCTACTTCAAAAGTTCTATAGTGTAATCTACATCAAAACTTATACACAAGTATTGATGTATTAACTTATAAATAAATCAATAAAAGAGTTGCATTTTGACGATGAATATTAACTAGAGGAGGTAAAATAAGTCGAAGGGAGTTTTAAAATAGGGAAAAAGGGGTCAGTGAAGGGGGGTGGGTACCTCTTGGTTGTCCTCTTTTGATTGTACTGTTCAAAATTGAGAAAAAGGGAGTATTAACCAAGTAGGGGGAAAGGGTCAGTGGAGACGGGGGACCTCTTGGTTGCTCTCTTATTTTACTGTTACTCCTTGCTCAAGCTCTGTGGCTCAAACCTTTGTGATATTTTGTGGACCTGTGAGGTTTTTTCTGTGGCTAATTATAAACACATACTTGTTCCCATGCTTTCTTGGAAGTCTCTGTGTTATGCCATTCTAGCATTCTATATGTAAAATTAGAGTGTTCTTCAGGAAACGGCTGGATTAAATTAGTATTTGATACCACACACTTGACAAATTACTAATACTATAATATACTATTGTGTAGCACTGTAGTGGGATGTATTGCTCTTACTGTAGTGCATTAGCACTGTGTGTTTTTTATCTTTTGGAAAAACTCAATGACTAAAAAGGAATATATAATGAAGCTATTGGGAATTTAAATTATTAGAATCAGAGACAATACCTAAGCACTTCATTTGCCATTGTGTTCCATTTACATTCTCTCGAGTGTAATAATTCTATAATAATAGGAGAACTATAAACAACTACCTATGAAATATTGCCCTAAATAGGACCGAAATGTTGCTTAAATTCCTAAATAGGATTAGGTATATTTTTATTCCCTAAATAGGAGTTTTGTTCCAAATTTTCCCTCCCTAATATAAATAATTGCCCCCTAGTTCCCTTGCATAATCAAGGTCAGTTCGTCGGTGGAGGCAACAGAGGAACTCTGGCGGTGATCCAGATCTGCAGTGGCGGCGGCGGCAGCCGGTGACCGGCAGCGGCCAGATCTGCAGCGGCGGCATCTGGTAACTGGCAGCAGCCAGATCTGCAGCGGCGGCGGCAGTACGGATGGACAAGCTTCAGGGGTATTTTTGTCCATCTACATATAATAACTCCTATTTAGGGAATTTTTAAACTTTACTCCTATTTGGCAATTTAGCTATTATTTACTCCTATTTGCGGAAGTATCCCAATATTGATTTACAATTAGTTCCACTAAATGTAAAATTAGACCTTTTATTATGCAGCAGCAGAAATATATTATCAAAATATGGATAGTGAACAAAAATGTCACTATAATTATGTTCAAATAATACATCTTAATGGCTATAAAAGTATGCCTATAGTCACATTCTTGTCCATGCAAATTATTTTAGTTATATTTTAGGAAAAACCTCGATAACTCCAGCCGTCGCTGGTAGTCCAAGGTAGTAGCAGGTGCTATTGGCGGTGGTGCTGGACAATAGCAATATTCGGTAACAGTAGTAGATGGTAGTAATCGTCGTTGGCAGTGGTGGCAGATAGTAACAGCTGCCGCCACTGACGCCGTACTACAGCATCTGCTGCTTGTGGCTGTGCAGGGGAGGGTTGTACTACATATACTCATACTGTCATCAGTCGTGCACTAGCAATGTATACTATTACTGACTTACCGTTGTCCCTATCTGCTGCTGCAGCTGTGCAGTGGAGGGTGCTACTAATTATACTACTACTGTCAACAGCCGTGCACTAGCAATGTATACTTTTACCATTGTCCTTCTCTGAGTAGGAAAGTGATGATTTTATGTTTATAAATTTATTCTGGTGTTGTTCTGTATTTTTTCCATAATAATATGAATAACAAGCTTGTTGTTTGCATGCTTCTATGTAATCTATACTGTAACTGTATCCTCCAATTGCTCATCTTTCTGTCTTATAAATCGAAGTAATTGTTCTAGTAAGTTGAGTTTACGGGCATCAGTTTTTAGCCTGGTTTGGTCATTCATAAACAGTACTCACTATAAGTCTGTCATGCTAGGGAAACTCCGAACAAGAATATGAACGATCAGAAGCATTTCAGCAACAGCTAAAACTAAAGGTTCGAGAAATATTAACTGATCAAGAATGGCGGAGAAGGAAAATGCAGATGAGAGTACGTATCTTCTTCTATCCATGCTATATGTTCATAGTTATATCTTTCAACTTTTTTGACCTGAGTATTCTGTAATCCTGTTCAGATTTCTGAAGAGGAAGGTCGTTTAAAGAAGGACGAGGAAGAACAAAAAGAGATGTGGAAAAGGAAGCGTGAGCACGAGGAGCAATGGGAAGGGACAAGGGAAAATAGGGTTAGTATTCCATGTATATTCACTCAATTCCATTATAGTTTCATAATTGACTCGCTTTTTAAGAAAACAAAAATGTATGGTTGAAGTTTATTGAGCAGAAGGAGACATTATGAACCTTTCAATTTTTTCCTTCAGAAGCAAGAGAATGTGTTGTTAGGATAACAATCCAAAATGGAAAATAGGAAGAAAGTTATGTGGCGTAAGGAGTATTTGAAAAGAGAGTCCATTACTTTTATGGGGCTGACCATAGTCACATAGTTCGCGGAACGCTTTGGTACGGGAACGAGGATCGGGAACACGGTTCGCTAGGTATAGCTTATCCTGTTCAGGAGGGGGGGGGGGGTTGCTCATTCAGTATGCGTTCGGTACGATGTACCATATGTTCGGTACATTGTACCTTATGTTTTGGTACTATAATAAAACAGGATTACAAATTTCATAACATTAAACAAAAACATATCTCATAACATGATTTCATAACATTAAACAAAATAAAAAACATTAATATTCTTGAAACATTTGACGTCAAACTGAAAAACGGTACCACAAACATGAATTAAAACAGAATCTGGAGACTGGTGTAGATGACGCAGATCCAAACACTACTTCAGTGAAGACAACAAATTCACAAACTGATTCGGATTTCTGAGGGAGAAGAGTAAAAGACTGGACTGGAGTGCTGGGGAGTAGAAGGCATATGAAATACAACAGTTTTCACTCAATAAGAGTTGGAAACTACAATCGATGAGTTGGATCAGAAAACGAAGAGGCTGGTTCGAAATCCGCATGCCTGTACAAACGTCTGAAAACGAAGAGCCTGTACAAACCCTTGAAATCCACACGCGGAAAGGAAACGACGCGTAAGGGTTCCAAACAGGTTCGCTGAGAAAATCGGTTGGGGATCGATTTGGAAATCGATTATGATCGAAATGAAACACGATTGAGATCGATTCTAAAAGGCGATTGGGATCGAGTAGACTAGTGTACATAATCGCGATCCCGTTAGCGAATGGATCGCTTTCGTACCGTGATTGGGTACAGAACGATCAGTTCACAAATTGTGGCTTCTGTAGTGATCTATGTAACTATGGGGCTGACAGTCCATTAAACGAAAGAACGGATTACTTTTTTGTTCTCTTATGTCAAGAATCACCTTAGAAAACCAAAGTTAAACAAATCTAGTGTATCCCACTCGAGGTAGTCTCAGGGTTGAGATGTACCAGTCTTTTGCTCCACTCTAACAGAGTAGAGAGACTTTTCAATGTGAACAATAGTTTTTTTTTTGGTTTCTGGTTTTACCTCATATTAAAATCTGAATCTTTCCACTTAACTCTGATTGCTATTGTTGGCGTTATTATTATTATTATTATATTATTACATTATTATATTACTTCCTCCATCCCACTAACATTGAGACATGAGAATGTGGTGCGATTGTTAAGAAAAGTTGTTTATGTGGTTGATATTGAATTGATAAAGTAAGAATAAGATAAGAATGATTTAAAACCACACAAACTTTATCAAATTTGGTATATGACAATCTTTGTGGGATGGATCGAAAAGGAAAGATGAGCCATTCTTATCGGGACGGAGGGAGTATTACATTATTACAGAGTATCTATTTTACAGTATTGGTGTACTGAAAAGAGGGGTGGCCTTGCTATGAATGTTTCTTTTTTGCCAGGTATCAAGTTGGAGGGATTTTATGAAAGGCGGGAAGAAGGTGAAGAAAGGGGAGATTCGGCCTCCAAAGCTCAAAACCGAAGATCCAAACAAGTCTTATGTTCAGCGACCAGTGAAGAGAGGTTGAAGGCCGCTTGTGCCAAATTAAAATTAGTTGTTTAGTCCCATGTATCTTCGCCATCGAAAATCTTTATTGTAACATAGATACTGCACACAAGATTGAGATATTGTTGTCAACGAGTTACACATCTAAGAAATCCCCTTTTATTGCTATGTTACAACATCTCATAAGCCGTCTGAGTTTTCTCATGAAAATTTGAAATACTATCTTTATCATATGTGGACGGGTAATATTAGGGTGGACATTTTTGTTGGGTTTGGCATTGCATGGATACAATCCGATTTCTGCCTGGTTCTCGTCCCGGGCAGGCTGGTCTTGGAGCGTGGGAGGTTGAATCGGGACTGACACATGTTACTCCGGTTCTAGGCTGGTTTTGGTCCACTAGCCGGTCCTGTTGCTAGATCGGTCTCGATCCAATCCTTATTATTATTATTATTATTATTATTATTATTATTATTATTATTATTATTATTATAATAAGGTCACTAATACAATTGCAACTCTGAAATAAGTACAATAAGACATTGTTCATCTCAAATTTCAAATGATTACAAATAAGGAAACACTGAATTACTACAATACTGCAATGATAGGCATAAAGTTTTATTGAATACTACGATTACTACCTCCGTAACTTAAAAACTTTCCCGTTTCAAAAGTAGGTAGATTAAGAATAGTGAAAGAAGATATGAATTATTGAGAGTGTGATGGGAAGATAGTGGAATAATGTGATGGAATGTAGGATAAACCCAAAAAAAGTAGTTGTAATAGTGTATTATTTTCAGAATTATTGAGGGTATGATGGGAAAATTTAGAAATGAGAAGATTTTTTTGTTTCGAACGAAAAAGGAAAGTGGGAAGATTTTTATGTTACGGAGGGAGTATGAAAATGGTGTATGATTTATGAAAACTAAAAATTGAACACAACACTTTTTCATTGTTGCTGTGGGTGGTGGTACGGAAATGTTTGTGTAGGGTATCAAAATGGTCGTTTTTTTATTTTCCCAAGCAGAAAAACAATGATGGAATTGTGGGTAGACTATGTTTGACGTGTTCGTAGTGAAAATGTAGTAGTTTAACATTGCAATAGAGACAATGGAGCACGCTTCCATGAAAAATGAAGAACATTAAATAGGGATTTGAGAATGTTTGTAATTATAAATACATAGTTGTAATAGATACTACCTCCGTCCCAGAGACAAGTTCCCACTTTCCTTTTTTGGCAGTCCCAACAAAAAGTTCTCATTTCCCTAAATGGAAAGTTATCCTACATCAAAACAGTAACAAACAGTGCAAAACAGTGCCAAACAGTGTCGAAACAGTGCCAAACAGTAAAATTTACCCCTCAGTAACTTTATTTCCTTAATATGTGTGAAAGTCAACCTGAGAACTTCTCCCTGGGACGGAGGAGTATTAGAGAACATGAGATTATTATTATAATAGAAAGAGTACATGATGAAGATGGGATAGTTGAAAATTCGAAGGTGTGATAGATGAGAAATGGAATAGCTAGATTTTGTTAGCCAATAGGGGGGAAAATGGAATAGCTGTTGGGACAAAATGGAGACCAGATCCGCTGGTCTAGTTCACCATATACTACCCCCGTTCTTAAATAAATGCAACACTTTGACTTTTACACTATTCACATGTTCTACTTTGACTACGTTTTATTTATTAATGTAATAATATTATTTTATGAAAAAAATATTGTTAAACTTGTCTCATTGTAAATTTTTATAATCTAATTTTTTAAATTTTTTTACCAATAAAAAAATATTTATATTAATGATCAAAGTTGTGTCTCGGCAAGTGTGAAATGTTGAGCGTTGCATTTATTTAAGAACGGAGGAAGTATTACTTTATCAGAACCGGTACCCGACTGACTACTCACGAGTCCAGCGCCGGCCCCCACCTGGAACCGTCCTCTAAGGTCCAGGTACGATCCAAGAACTGGTCGGTCTCAAAATTTAGGTAAAAAAGTGTTGCGATTACATAAAAATGGAGTTTAATGTTGTTGTAATTCACAATTCTGAAAATTGGCTGTTTTGGTTAGTTATGCTGAAATTTATGAAGTTCTGGTGAATTGACTGCATTGACTGATTATGCTGATTTAAGAAAAAAGTGTTTTAAAAATATATTTTATTAATAAAATAAAGAAAAAATTATATGTAAAAATAGCTAAAATGATCATCTACAGTAACTTCAGCCAATATAGCCAGAAAAGTAACTCCAACCTTACTTTTTCTGCTTATTACACAATTCAACGCGCGAAAGTAAAAAGTTACGTGTTTGGTGAAAAAGTTGGCTGAAAAGCCTGATAAGCCGAAAAACAGTGTTACCAAACGAGCTCTAAACTTCGAACAAGCTATCTTTCATGAATGATTTTTTTCGATAGAAGTTCAAGTCAAATCGGAAAATAGCAGAGTAATGCATCTTCTGTTATTTTAATTTATTTATATTTAATTAAATTCGGAAGAATCTATCATGCCATAGTGATTTTTGCGATTAAAACTAAGGTCTTATTTTACAAGAAAAGATTAAGTGGATAGCAGTGTAATTTGCCGATACATCTTCTTTCCTTTTAATTTATTTTTATTGAATTTGTATTGTTAAATTAATAAAGATATAATTGGATGTATGTACCGTTTTTAGAATGTACGTTTCAATTAATGTTACATATTTATAGAAATGAAGTGTAGTCTTATTATTTTTTTCGATAAACTTAAAAATTAAGTGGGTTTAATAATAGCATCAAATTTTATAAAATTTGATGTTAACTCAATACATATTTTATTATCTAGTATGATTGGATCTCGTATTTGATATCATCACATTTTATATATTCATCACTAAAGTGTCATACACTATTAAAAATAATAACAGGGCTCATTAACTTAATCTAGCCTGTTAAATGATTTTTTGGGCTAATGTTCAAGAGCTCCCACTATATATGAAGGGAAATTATCACATATAGACTTAAGAGCTAAAATATTATCACTTTTATCACCGTTTAAATTTCTTTTCAAAGATAGATCGGTTAAACTTTTGTTTTCAGAAATGGACTCGTGTATAAAACGGTAAACACGCGTTTCACTCTCCGCTCCTTTTAAGCGAGTGGGTTAGCAACTTAGCATACCAGATGTCACCGCCTAAGTAATGCTTCGTTGACAATTTAGAGCCCGTTTGGAGAACTCTGTTTTTGGCTTATCACGCTTATCAGCCAGCTTTTTCACCAAACACGTAACTTTTACTTTCGCGCGCTGAATTGTGTAATAAGCCGAAAAAGTAAGGTTGGAGTTACTTTTCTGGCTGTATTGGCTGAAGTTACTGTAGAGGTCCATTTTAGCTATTTTTACATATAATTTTTTCTTTAATTTATTAATAAAATATATTTTTAAAATATTTTTTTCTTAAATCAGCAGAATCAGCCAAAACAGCCACTCCAGCCAGAATATCATAAATTTCAGCAGAATCAGCCAAAACAGCCGATTTTGGTGCTACCAAACGGGCTCTTAGTAGAAAGTGCCCCGCTACTCACTTTTTGTTTTTGAAAACAGTAACTAAAAACTGTAACTACGTAACACAATTTTAAAAAGAAGAGTAAAAATAAAAATGGTGAAAATAGTAAGAAAAAAATACCAGAAAGCCTAACTAATAAAAAAAACTCAAATTAAAGAATAAAAAACTCAAAATTAAAAACTGTCGAAAATTTAAAATAGTTTAAAAGTGTGAAAATTTGTAACGAAAAATGCAGTCTTTTCTTTGTAATGTATTCTTTAAAAGGCATATAAAACTGTAAATATATAAATTTGGAAAAAGTTAAAAAAAAATGCTACTAATATAAATAAAATGTACATAGAAACATATTTATAAAAATTAAAAAGCAGAAAATTTTATTAACTTAAAAGCATGAAAAGTTTATATCTCGACAATAAAAATTGTGTTAAGTAAAAATAATCAAACATTGAAAAAAATCTAAAAATAGGAATCTTATAATACAATATTTTTAAATGTTACAATATTTAACAATGCTATTATTCCGTAAATAATTTTGTTGTATGTTTTTGTTGCCTATTGTTTTCTTTGTTTCCTTTTGTTGATGACTTTGAAATTTTTGTTTTTTATTGTTTATTTATGTTTCTTGTCATTGGTTTGTACTCATAAATCCACATTTATCATCTCTGGTGAAATACATGAGTTTTTTTTTTACTTTTAAAAAGTAGCAAAAATAAATAAAAGTCTAAATAAACAACAAAATATGAGATCAACAATGATACAATAATAAGTAACACAATGCAACAAAATGCAACACCATGCAACAAAAAACAACAAGAGGCAACAAAAAGCAACACATTCATTGCAACAAAAAGAAACAAATATATATATATATATATATATATATATATATATATATATATATGTATATATATATATATATATATATATATATGTAAGTGTCACAACAATTGTGAAATTCAATCTAGTATTTCTATTTATTACATACATATATGTATCTATCATACAATTTGGAGTTCCTTCATATCACTTCTTTTATGCATCTTAACACAATTCTTCAAGGTTGAATATCTTGTCTTCACTTTCTTTGATATTCTTCATTTTATTGTCAAAATCTATGAAGCTATGACCTTCATTATAATTGAAAAAGACTTCTAAAGCAATTCATGGTTGAGAAGCCTTAGAGTCAGTCCTTGTGCAAGTCCATCAATATCCTGGTCATGCCAAATAAATAAAGCATATATGTGTAAAACATTAGTACTATATGTACACCACAATGAACCATATAAAACAACCAAATAAGTAAAAAAGACTTATTTCATATGAACATCACAGTTCTACGTCAATGAAGACTTGATCAATGAACACCACAATTTTACATTATTAAAAACAGAAGCACGGGGAATCATGACACAAAAAATATCTCTTCATCTTATTTACACCTATACAAGTGTATCCAGACACCACTCAAATTGTAAAATCATTTGCTCATATATCGTTCATAAAATAGTATTGGAAGAAAGAACACCAGTTCACATAGTTATCTGTATCTTATAGCACAAATATGATGTATATGATTTACTTGCCTATATTTTCTTAAATGTGATTTATTGGCTCATCCATATCAAAGAAAGCATCAGTTGTTAAGTTATGTCTTTCAAGGACTCCTGGCTCCACATAGAAACAAAAATTTAGATATGAAGGGAAGACAGTAGAAGGATAATAACTAAAGTGATAA